CTGCTACAATTAATAATTGTCTCAGTAAATGCCCAAACCCTACAGAACTGGTGCCTTCAGAGAGCCATTATGATTACATATTTGGCGTCCCTGAACCGGTTTTCCCTACACACATAAAGCACTCCTTCATAATGTGAGCGTGAGAGACAAAACTAGTGAATGTGAGTGCATTTTATGTGTATGTGAGATGTAAAACTAACGAATGCGAAAGCTTTTTATGTATATACGCGAGAGGAAAAATGAAGAGTGTGAGCATTTTCTGTGTATGTGAGAGGTGAATTATGGCCCAATGTAGGCGGCCCATCTAAATGGCACAATGCGATTGGCTGACAAAATTTATCAACAAGCTTTCTAATTCGCTCCAAGATGGAGGAAAAAATCAACCTCAAACACAACCAGCACTAAGCCAAGCCGTAGCTTTAATTAATAACATCTCAGCCACACCAGAAGCAATAGCTTCATTGTCATCGGCTATGACACCTGCGATGAGTGTTCTTGTGTGTATGTGAGAGGTAAAACTAGTGAATGTGAGAGCTTTTTGTGTTTATGTTAGATGCAAATCTAGTGAATACAAGAGCTTTTTGTGTGTATGTGAGAGCACTTTGTGTGGGTATGAGAGGTTAAGTTTGAATAATGGCCTAAACGGCACCTCATAAAACAGTTTCAGTTTCTCATTGCTTTTAGTAACTTGTTCAGAACCTCAATAAGCACTTGCAGTTTCTAAGTTTAAATTTCAAGTGGAAGGAAAATAAACAATACACACTTTAGACAGATTTAATATTTTGGTCTTGTGGCACAATCGTGGTAAATGAGATCTTTAAAATAGGTTGGTCCAGGTTAACAAACACACCAAAACAAAGTTGTAATGTTAAAAAAATAGTGTCTTTTTTAAAGTGTAATGAATTTGAAAAACTACATACATAAACCAAAGCAAAAAACTAACCTCTTCATTGAGCTCCTGCCTCTGTAGGCGAGAGTAAACATTATGGCTAGCAGCATCACAGGAAACCAAAGGCAAGAAGAAATAATGTTAATAATAGTAGTACAACACTTACATCCATGAAGTGGAGAGAACATCATTGACCTTGAGGAGGCTCAGGCAGGAATCTCTGTTGGCAAGCAGGAGTCTGGAGAACTCAAGTAAACCAGAGTACTGAAAGCCTGGATGACCAGAACCGCAGGTGTACCAGTTGGATGCCAGTGGGTGGAGAAAGCTGTGAACAATGTGCCCAGACCTAGCAGAGTGAGCACCTACAACCAGGAATGTTTCAACAAGAAAAGCAGAAGAAAAAAAGATTGGGGAAGGGGAAAACACAAAGAAAACACAGATAGGCTGAGGCTGTAGGTACAGTGGGTTGGATGGTTGACCAGAAATTGATAGAAAGAGAGAGAGCAAGCGGACCAAGTGGAGATTGTGTAATAGGAAGTGACTGTGGTTGATCTGGAGTTTCGGGAAGAGGTGACATCAGAAGAATTACAAAAAAGACAAGATACCATAAGTGTGCAGCAACCTAATTGCTGTTCCTGGACTGATTGAAGGGGAAGACTACTTGTTTGAGGTGATAAGAATGGTACTCCAGTACTTACCAACTTTGGATTGTATAGTCTGGCAATGCTAAGCACAGCAACGGACACCAGAAGATGATGAGAAGATATCCAAACAAGGAACATACAGTAGAAAAGGCAGCAATAAAGGTAAACTCTAGCAATGCCAAGTTCAAGAGAGCCACCTGTCTCTGTCTAAAGCAATAGCCAAGTGGAAGAAAAAAAGAGGAGCTTAGCAGGGAAGATATTGGTTGTACACAAAGCTAAATAGATCCTGGCTGACTCAATTCCATCAAAAGTGCATAAGCTACTGTACTTATCCTGAAAAATGTCTGTTAAACAAAGAGGGGCAAATGAGGGACAAGAAAGAAGTGTAAATGTTTTCTATTAACAGACACCCCTTTCCCATTTCTAGATTGTCTGTTCAATCATAGCTGGGGTCCTGCACTTCCTCTTCCTGGCCAGTTTTGTGTGGATGTTACTGGAGGCCGTACAGCTCTTCCTGCTGGTGAGAAGCCTGGCACAAGTGAGGATAATCCAAAAAGAGGGACTGCGTTCTGCTTACCTCCTACTGATTGGTTACGGCATCCCTACTGTTGTAGTGGGTGTGTCAGCAGGATTGTTTCCTAAGGGTTACGGGGATGATAAACAGTAAGTGCTAATCAATCATATGCTAGTACTAGAGAGCCTCAGTGAACCACAATCTTTGTGTCCTTCCATAGATTCTCAGTGGGATTCAAGTCTGTTCTTTGACTGGGCCACTCAAAAACATTCACCTTCCTGTTCTGAAACCACTGTAGCATTACTTTGGCTGTATGGGGTCATTGCTCTGTTAGAATGTGAATTTTCTCTCAAATCTAAGATGTTTTGCTTCAGTGTTTGTTTATATGATCAGAGAATCTTTTTTACATATGGTCTCATATCTTCTTGAAAACCCTAAGCATACTGTAATGTGGTCTTTTCTCAGGAGTATCTTCCATTTTGTCTCACTATCACAGAGATTAAACCTGTGTAGTGCGACAGTGACTGTTGTCCTCTAGATAAGTTCTCCATGTTCTCCAGTTCTCTCTCGGCAATGGGATCTTCTCCTTCTTCTCTTTCCAACGTCTTTCTTGCCCAGTTGCTCTGTTTGGGAGGATGGTCTTCTCTAGGAGACGTCTGGGTTGTTTTATAGCCTTTCCATTTTCTAACGATGGATCCAACTATTCTCCTGGGAAATAAATTAAAAGTGTGATTAATGAATGTGGTTAAAAGTGTCAAAAGAGATCAAGAAGAATAAGGATAGAAAGAGAACCAGAATCAGAAGCCATGAGAAGATCGTTAGTGACATTAACAAAGGCAGTTTCTGTGCTATGAAGATCTTGGAAACCAGATTGGAAGGATTCAAAGTGATTATGTGGACTACAAAATATGTTTACAATAACGACAGCAAGTATTCATAGAAAAGGCTAGAACATTCTAGCATTTTATAAAGTTTATAAATTTTATATATAGATATAGAATGAGCAAAAACATTTTCAAAATTACCACAGTAAATGACCGAGTTAAAGACTTTGATGTAGAAATACTGTTGTGTGCTTTATTGTTTGATTTGTAGCTTCCATCACCATCTATATACAATATGTATAATATATTTATATTCAGAAATGTTATGCTTCTCTTATTTTTATTTTCAGCTACCATAGTTTCCCTTTAGTTACATAATTCCATATTAAGCGGATTCGAAGAAGCAGAGTAGAGAAACAGATTAAATGAAGCAGTCATATCACTGTCTTCTAATGCAACACAAGTACTACCTATCGATTGTCTTTGCAGCAAAGTAAACCGCACTGTGCTGTAGCATCTCTAATGTAGCAATGAGTACTATCATACTGAGTGGTTCTGAGTGACTGCATCTGTATATTCTTCTGATATTGTGCCAACCAATTGAACTGACCAAGAATGCATTCAAAGTGGACACAAGTAGATTCAAACTTTAGAGTGATCTCACAAAGAAAGTGGATCCACCTGAGTTGCATTTAGGGTGTCATAGATAAGGGTGAATAATAAAAAAAAAAAATTCATGTAGTTGTAATAAATGTCCAAACCTTTCATTGCTTTCATTACAGTTTGACACTACAGAGTAATATGTGTATGTCATTATTAAAAATCCCATATAAATGTAATTCTATTTGGGTTTCCAACTTAAATTATGAAAAAAAAATCCATGGGGGAATACTTTCTGAAGTCACTTTTAGTGAGAAATCTGTTTTATCGTGAGACATGTAGTTCTTGAGAACTGAAGAGTATTCAAAATTTGGTCTCAAATGGTCTTTAAAATAGTTATTTTAATAAATCTTTCTTAATTGGTTGCAAAACTATTCTCCAAATTATTGCTCCAAATGCTGATCATTCACATAATTAGTATTAGTTTAATTAGTTTAACAACAGACCCCTATTGATGACAAATATTAATTAGTATAATCCATTTGGCCAGACTAATTGCCTTTTTTTTAAATGCTCTTCATTCATTTACAGATTTCAGCTTTTCATACCTCCCCCCATATTCCTTTGTGTGGACACTATTTCTCATCTTTCTGCTCATTTTCAATTACTCTGTCCTTTGTCCTTGATGACTTTATTCTCACCACATAATTTTCTCTGTCATACCAGAAGAAGAATCAACAGCAAAATGTTATTTCTTTCTTCTATTTGTCAGCATGGAATTAACTTTTCCTTGTTCCTTTGACCCAACGCACACTGACGCACTTCCTTAATCAAACATAATTCATTAGCTAATTCATAGTGTGTATACATATTGATTTTCACAGTTCATGTGTGACTCTGTTCTATATTCATAAGAAAATCTGCTGCGTTTATGTTTCAGATGCTGGTTGAAAAGTGAGAAAGGCTTCAGATGGACATTTCTAGGCCCACTGTACTGCATTCTCACAGTATGTACAATAGTGGTCTTTATCTTGATGAGTAAATATATAATACACAGTTTACCACACTTTTCTGTATTGCTTTCACAGAACTGAAATATCGCTAATAAAATAATAAACATTTTATATGCCATTATCAATTAATGGTGAAAATGATAGAGGTACATTAATGTTTCATCAAGTTAAAGCAAAACATTATTATCTAATATTTCATTATCAGAACCAAGCATCTCTTTGAGCTATGACTTTTATGGAGTTTAATTATCTGTTTAATGTGGGTTTTTTTTTACAGCTTAACTTGTTTCTGTTTTCTGTGATTGTCTGGAATCTCAGATTGACTCTGGTTCATATGAAGAGTGATATCTCCAAAGTGAATGACACCAGGTAAAAGTAGTGGGAAAATGTATAATTTGTAGATTGCAAATGTCTTATATATGCATAAAGCATCTAATACAGTAATAATACAATATTAATAATACATTAATGTACTTTTGCATGCAAATATAATACTGAAACCAAAATGACTGTTATAATAAGCATCATTTTAATAATCAGGATAAGAAAGACATATTTCAATGACATTTGAAACTAGGTTTCTATACTGTATATTTAGGTAGTATTATTATCATACTGCATACTGTATACTAGTTTTATCCCACTTCCCAAAACCATACAGAAAACGTATTGTTGCTCTTAATTCTTCCTCTTAGGCTTTGATCCCTAATCCCCCGGAAAAAGACCATTGGGCACCCTTATTTCATTTTACAGCAATGTCAGGAGTGACTCAAGTGCTTCATTATACCAGTGGTATCCACGTCTGGTCCTGGAGGGCTACCAGAAGTGGATACCACAATCAGGATACAGCCTAGCCTGTTTAATATGAAATCTATAATCCTCAATAAGTAAATGGTTAGAAACAGTGAAAACACAGACTGATGAATAACTGATTCAATTTAAGTCAACCAGAAGGCACTGATCATCCAGGAATGGGAGTGGAAATCAGTGCTCTATACCGTGGTTTATTATAATAATACTTTATTATTGTTTTCGATATTTTGAAAAATCCAGTTATTCCCCCTTTAAATTTAATAGAATCTGAATTTAATTTAATACAAGAAGCATATAAATCAGATAAGGTAAGCTTCAATAGTGTGAAGTTCCAATTTGTAAACAGTATTTTTATGTCCATATTCGTCATAATCTCCCTCATTTAGGACTCCCTGAATTACATATACTGTACACCTTCCCTGGCTGGAATGCCCATTATGTTAGTGTGACAAAGTTGATCCCAATGCTACTTGGTGTTACATCCATGCTAAACATAGGCAATCTATATTATAGATTCAATATTATCAAACATAAGATTTTAATGATAAATGTCATTTAATTAAAAACAAAACTACACTGTTCTAAGTTAGTTGATTCATGACTAAATTTATAATTGAAAGGGATTGTGGCATTTGATTATGTTTATCTATTTGACTCTATCTACAGTATATTTATCTTATTTCTATTTTAATGTACTGATGTAAATATAGAAATCTACTGTATATGGGATATATTATATTGCAAGAAGGTCAGTAATGTTAGGGGTCTAGGTAATCTTAATTTTGATGTGATAAAGTCAGGACTACTCCACTAAACCCCAAGCCCCAAAAATTTTATAATGGAGCAACTGAAAGAAACACACCAGTTTCTTAAAAATGGCAAGATTAAGTTTTGCAAAATTACATCTCCTTATCGTGTATTATAGTAGATTAGCATATTAAAGAATAGACTTTTGGCAGTGAGAGACATTCCATTGGAGGTAATTAAAGGTAGTAAACACTAGAATGGACCCATAGATAAACACAGGAATAGAATTCAACATATTGCTTTTCTTCAAATTTGAGCTGTGAAACAGATCTTTTTTCTAAATACTGTTATAATCAGATTCTGGAAAACTAAACTTAAAAAGTTCTGGAGTTTTTTTCATTATCATAATTGAGCTTTGTTACTTATGTTAAAAAAATCTGGTTTCCTGTATTGTGGAATCTTCAGGCCAAACACATTCTCTTTTTGTGATGCATTTTTCAACTCTAAAGTTGGTTTATGTGTATTGAGATTACATAGGCATAATTCTAGATTCTCTATTTCTATAGTAAGTAGGACTATAAGAAATGACTTAATGTACTGTATATACCTATCTTTAGTGTAACTGTTGTCCCTTTTGTAGTTGTAGTATTTGCTTTTAATACTCTTTTGTGTTGTCTAAGATTTAGCCTGATTATTACTCAAGTTGTGCTGCAAAATAAAAAATAAAAAAACGTTTTTTTGCATATTTATTTGCACATTTTGCATATCCATGAGGTTGCTTCCTGAACTATTCATATTTGCAACAATATTAATTAGTTTACTTTGGTACTATACCATATTACATTTACTTAGAAAGGTAACAGATTTTTTAGATGTAAATTAATGTGAAGATGGGGAAGTAACAACTTTTCTCAGAAGTTGATGTTTTGTACTTCTCTTCCAGGATAATACTTTTCAAATCTGTTGCCCAGTGTGTTGTACTGGGGTGTGGATGGATCCTGGGCTTCTTCCAAAGTTCCACTCTGCTAACATACCTGTTTATTGTGCTGAATTCACAGCAGGGTACTTTCATCTTCATTGTTCACTGTCTGCTTAACAGAGAGGTAACAGTTCTTTCTCTTTGACCTTCTAGGTTTCAAATACAACATGATTATCAGGATAGGTAAGACAGTGAAAAGACAGAGGATATTTTCTACAGCATAATTGGGTATTAGATACACATCCGAGGGGCAGGCATTTTGTTATGTGTTTGGAGAGGGGAGGGAATAATATAGAGTGCACTGATACAAGTTTTCCCCCACAACTTTTCTTCTAAACATTACCACTTTCTGGGGCCTTGTGTTTTGATGCTGTACTGTTTTGAAAGGGTATTAACCAAAACAAAAGCACATAAATGGTCATTAATGTCAATCACTACTTCACTGATTGTCTCGCTGTAACAGTACACACAGGACTGAGAGATAGAATGGTGTGTGGTAGTATGGGAAAATATGCAAAGATGCTACTTTTAGTGGATCTAATAAATCTTTTGTAGTCATTTTTTTGTATGTTTAACACAGAAATGTGTTACATTTGTTCTTTTAATGTGTTTTAAAATTGGCATCAGACAAATATAAACTGAGTATGTGTCTTACTGGATTTACTGAGTGTCTTTAATTTCATGCCTCCCCCCAGACTCTGTTATTACAGAAATTGTTATGTTGAAGTACAGTGTTGAGTTAATTAGGTACATGTACAAGCAATGGTGAATGAATGGAGACAAGATGGCTGGAATACTTATGAGGGCGAAAACAGTGCTGTAAATGTTACATACCCAGGAGCTTGAGTCTGACAACTCAGGGAGAGTGGCCGGCTAACTACACCTCAGGTGGAAAGAAGAGGCTGGCACAACACAGCACTGGCCTGGGGTGAAACTATCCACTGAAATGTGCTGACTGGTGTCTGGGAGAAAGAGCTGCTGGGGTCTTGCTCTCAATACTTCGGAGTGGATTTCTGTAGCCAGGTTCCCAGGGGAAGGGAGGCCCTAATTGAATGGAGGACAGCCCAATGTTGTTGCCCAGGATGCAGACAGGTGGACTGGAAGACTGGATCACAAGAGGGGGAAGTGCAGGGAAAGCAGGTGCAGGATGGAAATGAACCACCTGCCCAGAAGGCATCACAGGGCAGAGAGGTCCAACCTTCCACTCTGAACAAGAAACTCTGAATCAGAAAGGTCTGACCGGTGGACATCAGGAAACAGGTTGAATCAGGATATATGCCCCTCAGAATACACTAGGCTTACACTGTTAGACCTCCAGGGAAGAACTGGCTCCATCTCCCAGATCTCTCAGGTTCCATCTGGACCAGGCCAACAGAGATATCCGCTGAGATCAGTCCTAGTTTCAGACCCATCCTTGAGTCCCCTCTCAGCTACTGGAATCCTTTGGACAGCACAGCTGCATGTAGAGCACCCTAACCTAGCCCAAGTAAACTGAAAACAAGGAACAAGAAGGGCTATGCTCAGATGCTGAACGGTAGATCAGGAGTGGTATGAAGAATCGTCAATGCCAGATTGCCGAGGAGAGGCAACGCAGGGTTAAAATACCCTCAGAGCACCCACTGCAGTGACAGTTCTAAATACGACCAGGTGCTTTGCATTAACTGTTTCCACAGTAGTCAGGGTGGAATGGATGTGTGGCTGCTGGCCCCCAAGGTGAAGCACGGCTGGGTGAGGAGCATCTTACAAAAGTGACGGAAAGGATAAGATCTTGACAGTAATTAAGAATATGAAAGAAGAAGAGAAGCAACAAGACACAAGAGCAAGAATTATAGCATTACAGACTTCACCAACTATTTCTCCTATTGACCTTCCTTATACATCCCTTCACAGATGGCAAACCCAAACTACAGAGTATCCAAAAAACACTTTCAGACAGAGGTATTTAACGATCTATAAATCTTCTATGGCGTCAGCTCCTCATGCTAGGAAATGATCAAACTCCATGGCCCCATGGACCAGTGTAATGGAAAGCTCCATATGCACAACATCAAGGGAAGAAAAGACTCACTAATATTTGAGAAAGCTTGTAAGGAAGCTGACACCACTTCCTGTTAACACTAATGCCAGCTAACCATGTCCATCCCTGCACAGATACATCTAGTAATGAGTCACCAATTAAAAAAATAAATACTAGAGAGCAAGGTATATATTTCACAAAATAGTATATAAGTTTGAGTCCTTCCTCCAAAACACTTACCCAACTGAAAACTCCCACTTACAATAAAAAAATGCCAGTAGCCAAAAAAGCACAGAGCCATTGGTTCTCAGCCCTGGTCCTTTGAATCCCCTGAGTCTCCTAATGTTTACTCCAGCCAATGTGTTAATCAAAACTAATTGATTTCACGTGTTCTTAAATTTTGTATCAGCTGTTAAAAAGATATACAGTATGAAGATTGTAATTGGTATCATCACTGCCTTCATTCAGGGGGGTCAGATGAAATATGACTGACTGGACTTTTGTAAATTGTAGTTTTTAATATTTAAATATTACCTTATTTAATTGCAGGGTGATATATCAGCAGCCATATCACCCTGCAACTCACAACTGGCAACCCACTGAAGTTAAGCAGGTGTGAGCCTGGTCAGTACCTGGATGGGAGACCTCCTGGGAAAAACTAAGGTTGCTGCTGGAAGAGGTGTTAGTGGGGCCAGCAGGGGGCGTTCACCCTGTGGTCCATGTGGGTCCTAATACCCCAGTATAGTGATGGGGACACTATACTGTAAACAGGTGCCGTCCTTTGGATGAGACGTAAAACCAAGATCCTGACTCTGTGTTGTCATTTAAAATCCCAGGGTGTTTATTGAAAAGAGTAGGGGTGTTACAACAGCATCCTGACCAAATTTCCCATTGGCCCTTACCAATCATGGCCTCCTAATAATCCCCATCTATGAATTGGCTTCATTACTCTGCTCTCCTCCCCACTGATAGTGGTGAGTGTGGTGAGTGTTCTGGCGCACTATGGCTGCCGTCGCATCAACCAGGTGGATGCTGCACATTGGTGGTGGTGGAGGGGAGACCCCATTACCTGTAAAGCGCTTCGAGTGGAGTGTCCAGAAAAGTGCTATATAAGTGTAACCAATTATTATTATTATTATTATTATTATTACCTAACATCTTCAACATTTTCTTAAAACTTTTCCTAACAATGTCCTATCTCCTGTTTTGGGAACATATCTTTAAAGGTGTTTGTTTAAGCCCGATGTGACCCTCACTAAAATACAATGGAAAATAGCTGTTTTCTAATATCTATGTTTGTTTTTACAGGTGAGAGAGGAATATAAGAAATGGTTCCCATGTGTCTGCGCAAAAAAAAAAGCATTGCTGTCTGCAGAGCCCTCAATGTACACACAAAATGTATCTATGGTAAAAATTGTATTCCAGAATATGCACTCCTCACTTTTATCACACTTATGCACACAACCTGTTTTCAGTGTTTTGCTCACTACACAACGTGATGGGTGTTAAAATTAACTGGTTTAAGTTTAGACAAATCCTGCTGCAAAACCAGAGATCAGTTTTTGTAAATTACGTCTGATTAACACAAAATTAGAAACATGAATATGAAGGATCTGAAGAAAAAAGGCACAAAACTCTATTACTGAGATACAAAGAGCACATTAATATCATTATACAGCAAATTGTACCACCAACTGCTATAGCACAAGCATTTTGCATACTTTTAAAATAGTTTAATTTATTTTTAGTGTCAAGGTTTTTGGTGACGAATTTAGCAGTTCTGCAAATTTTCAAGGAGAACATATGAACTACATATGAATCACCCTTCTCATTGTAAGGTTGATTATTGAGTATCTCAATATAAACTATTACACTATATTCATCAGCATCCTGATACAAACCTGTGTGGTTTCAGATTGTGTGAGAGTTCCCATCACTAAAAGGCAAAATACATTCATTTTCTGTAGCCCATTAGGTTTGTATTATGCAGCTACAGTATTTATTGTTTAGTTGTTAATTTTGTCTTACAGTTGCTTCTAAATTGTTATTTAGAGGACTAAAAAGTCATAAAAAAAATTATTCTTCCTCAGATCAAAGTAGAATCTTCTAAGTTTAAATTCAAATGTTTCAAATCAGTTGTTCTATTTACAGTTTTAGGATTTTTGTCATTTGAATCCCCTCAGTGAGCTAACTGTAGATTTGCAGCATTAACTGTATGGTGCTACAGTACTTGCACTTGAACTATAGGAACCCTAAGTAACTGTAAGTATTGTTACTGGTGAGCACATTGTCAGTAATCGGCTGCCTACTGTACATTTCAATCTTCTTCCATCCATTGCTAGCAAACCTTTACCTGTGAGTGAAAATGTGTTTATTATTTAATCTTGTAATGGTACATAGTTATAAAGGTATATTTAAAAGTAAAACATAGTTAATAAAACTAAACTTTTTTGATGAATGTTGCAAACGGAGAACTGTTTATCATCCTAGCCTGGTATTTATTGTAATAGTACAATTAATATTGTGTTATACACAGCCAAATATATTTTTGTTAGTAAAGAATAAGAATATACTTTTCTACATATAGTAGGTTTACAGTAGGATACAGGTTTTCTTCTGTATCTTTTAGTTTAAATCTTAATTCCAAAGTTACATGCTTCGTGTTTTCTCACTAAAAAACTGACCCAAGGAATCCTGACTGTAATTTTTGAATGGAGTTTGGCAGGCTGTCAAACTGTGTTAAAAACACATAAGGAAGAAAAGTGCTCTAGTAAATAAGAGAAGTGAAGAGTGTATTAATTCAAAACCATCATTTCTATCGCACATGTGTGACTTTTGGTGTGATTTAACAAAAATAACATTTAAACACTTTGAACAGCCATTCACATTTTGCAATAACTCTGAATGCACATCGTGACTTTTAAAGGCTAAAAAGACTAATACTAAAAAAGTGAATGTACCCATTTGTTTTCTTTTTTCCAAGACGTTTGAATCATCTAATTCTGAAGACATACAAAAACAAAAATGAAGAGAGAAAACATTATTGAGCAAAAGGATGAAAACCTGCTTTACTACATTTTTTCCTAAGATAAACTGACCATTAATTAATGTCCAACAATGTTTTTTTTCCACTGGACTCTAAATTTCTGAGTATTGTAAGTTTAATGTGTGATGTCAGAATTCAATTAGTTCTGGTAAAAGTGTAAGAAAATAATAAGAAAATATAATTACAATGTACTTTTATAGTGTATTTTTTCATTACAATGTTCTGGGAGAGTTTCAGACTGAAAACTGAAAGTATTTAAACTGTTACAATCTTAAATATATAGCTATGACCACAAAGAACCAAGAAAAAATGTATCAGCTGTTTAAACACGTCCATTAAACATATTTATACTTCCCAACTACTTCTGTTACTTTTCAATATATTTGTTTTAAAATTATAACTTTAATCTTACACAGAATCTAGGTTAAGTTTTTAGCTGTTTCATCTGCATGAAAGACTTTTAACCCTCAGCCTTAACTGCAACAGTGACTTCCTGGTTTGCAGATAGCTAAACTAATTTCTAAAAGATTACTAAATTTTCACTTCATGGCTTGTGGATCCATGACATTGGTTACAAGGTTAGATCCCTCTTAGGGGCTGAGAACGTTCTGTCTTTGAATCACATTGGAAATCTGAGCTGGGTGTTCTCTTCAGGTAAAATAATGTTGCTATTGTTCTTTTGGGACTGCATTTTCTCATACTGAAAAATTTAAAATTTTATTTGTTTACTAAGTCAGCAGTTTTTTTTTCTTACTAAAAAACATGCTACTATTTAGCTAGTGCTTGTTCTAATATAGAAAAATGAAGGAATTATCAACTGCTCCTTAATTACAATTACAGTAATACAGTGTGTCTCAACACAAACTACTTTCCTTCTTGTGAGCTACTTCACTTTTCGGATTAAGTAAAGATTTCTTCCATGCTAAAAAGAGAAGAAAGGAAACACAGAGCTGAAGAAGCTCCATATCTGAAATGTAGTGCTTCTTTTCTTCTCATTTCAGCATGGATTAAACCTTCAGCATGGGTCCTTTGCAGCCTACGCACGCTGATGCAGTTACCTACTTAAACTACTATGCTTTTATACTGGTGTACTGTATTTATGACACCAGTGTTTTACTGGAATACCTATGTGAGTCAACTCTTTTTCTAATTCCTCACTCTGTGAATCTTGTAGAATATTTAGTTATATTTTGAGGCTCTACATGTGCAGGAATTGATCAAAGTTGTAAAAAAATAGGCAACAAAAAAAGTAGGCATATGATTCTTCCTAGCACAGTGACAAGACATAGCTTTAAGGCAGATTTAAAACAGTGCTCTTTATTTATACAGAGGAGGGAAAAAAGCAACCACAAAGAAAAAACAAACCTAGCTCTTCTTTGCACTGCTAACTGAACTTCAGTCCTATCTATCCTGCCAGGCAGCTGAGCTGCTTACCAGCTTTAAAACAAAATTCACAAAGATCATTTAACTGGAGCCAATCCAGGCTCCCGTGAAGCTTAGTTCAGGACCCTATGCAGATGGTATACTGCGGAAGGGAGTGGAAAAGGACAACGGGGAGGAGACAACAAGGATCAGGGCAGGTTGACAAACTGACACAATACAAATGTGTCTTTGTTTCTTGACATGACAGTGCTTTGATTGGTACTGTACTGGCTGTATTACTTGCGACAGTGAACTGGTGCTCTGGGGGCGTGAGCATGGCAAACAAGTCCAGGGAAACTACAGCTTTTACAAATTCACATTAAGCTTTGAGTACATTTAGAAAAAAGAATATACACATATCTTGGTTAATTATTGGTGACCTACTAGAAAATCTTTCCCTTTAACGTCAGCAGCCATTTAGCACTGCCGATGTGGATGCCTAAAAATTCACAAACAGAAAAGGTACTGGTGTCCATCTTGTCAAACATTACACCATAATCCAACAACTATGGAATACTGCAGTGATTTGGAGTAAAAAGGGAGGTACATACCTTTCACACTTGTTTCATATACACTAACATAAACATACAAGAAGGGTACAGGAGTAATTAAGAAAGGTCTTGGAGTAATTAACATTTTTATACACAACAGCAGGCTACCCTGTTGTAGGGCATCAACAACTCATTCCCCAAAGGCTTCTGGGGAATGTGGTCCATACACAGTATTTTGTTTGGAGTAGCTGTGTTCTTGTTAAATTATTTTTTAGTTCTTGCAATTTAACAGAAAGACACAAACACACAGGGTCCATTGTAACTAGCTTTTGGATTAAGCAGGCAGATGGATACTAAATACAGTACACTACAATCTCGCTTCATCCAACTTTCAGCTCAATTGCAGTGAAAAAACAAGTGGATGAGGAACTACTATAGGAATATACCTTTCTAAATCTGGATTTAGAAAAGTCCAATAATACACTCTCAAATGAATACATATTTGCTGTTTTGTTAAAAAAGGATTTAAGCAAGATTTTTTAAAAAGGTAAGATTATTGCATAATATCATGGAAAGTAAATTTATGGTGAATGTGTTTTAAACTAAGTAAAGTGTGGTATTATACAGGGCAGTCTATAACCCCTTTTACTATTTGAGTATGACATTGTCACGATCGGCATGCCTCCTCTATACATGAGTTGTATACATGAGTTTGAAAAATTCAAAGAATTATCAACTCAGTTAGCACCCCAGGGCTACTCTGGGCCACAAAGCTGCGAGGCAGAACTGAAATACACTGTGCCATCATATCACCCCCACTCCCCTTCTAATATTATATATTAGAATATTATTGGCAGGTCATATGACATGCCAGGTCATTGCAGTCCTCCTTGATCTGAGCTTGAAACCCCTGCTGTACACAATACAGATGTGTCTTTGTTTCTTGATATGACAGTGGTTTGATTGGTACTGTACTGGCTTTATTACTCATCAACTGCACTTTTACTATAGCTTTTTTAAAATGTAGCTTTGCAGGTCCCTGTGAATTTGATGCTCATGTCAAGAAGGTTAAAAATAAATCATGCTATTTATTGCTTGTGAAAATTGTAAGTTAATTATTTCCTAAATAATATGCATAGCCTGCATAACCTGCATAGCAGCAAAAAATATTGTAGCACTTAGAATTAAATATTAATCAATTGCTTTAATCAATCATGGCCTCCTAATAATCCCCAACTACAGTGCCTTGTGAAAGTATTCGGCCCCCTTGAACTTTTC